TTCCATGTTGGGGAGAAGACAAAGTTAACTATTAATAATAGAGGAGATAATTAAAGAGAAGGAGACGTGTGTAAATAAACTTTGCTCTGCACTTTTATTAACTCAACAGGAGCTTATATATAGGCTTATAAAACAAGGATACCATTACCCCACTATCTCAACTACATAGAGATAAAGTAGGCACGTGAATAACTAAACTAGAGATAATGTCAAATATGGACTAACCCACTAACACATCAAATAACAATAAACTAATATCCTAAAGGCTAGGACTTATTGACTCAATATATGGACTCAATACGTGGGACACCATCTTTGAATCATTCTTCAACACTCCCCCTTGATTCAAAGTCACACACTCCAACACGTGATCTGAAGTAGATGAACTTATCTCTTGGTAGTGATTTGATCAGAACATCTGCCACCTGTTCATGTGTACTGCATTGGTTCAACATAACTTCACCATTTGCAACCAAATCTCTGATGAAATGAAAACGGATGTCAATATGTTTCGTCCTGCCATGAAAAACTGGATTTTTTGTCATTGCAATTGTTGCCTTGTTATCACAGAAAATATCAGTTGCCCCTCTTTGTTCTTGGTGAAGATCTGTAAGAATTCTACTAAGCCAAATTGCTTGACAAGCATCTGAAGTTGCTGCAACATACTCTCCTTCTGAAGAAGATAAAACTGTTGTGGCTTGCTTCTTTGAACTCCATGTGATTGCTCCTGACCCATGACTGAAAACACTAGCTGATGTGCTTTTTCGATCATCTAATGAACTTGCCCAATCGCTATCAGTAAACCCACAAAGACTGAAATTGGACACATGAGTGTACCAGATCCCATAGTTTATTGTTCCAGTAACATACTTTAAGATCCTTTTTGCTGATCCAAAGTGATGCTTTGTGGGATTTTGCATGAACCTGGAAACTACACCAACAGATAATGCAATATCTGGTCTGGTATGAGTCAAATAAATCAGACCTCCAACCAAACTTCTACAAATTTTTGCATTAGCCTCCTCTGTGCCATCTTCAAGTTGCAGCTTCTCATTCATATTCATGGGTGTAGTAGCTGGTTTACAATTAAGCAAGTTGACCCTTTTAAGAAGATCTACTGCATATTTCCTTTGTGAAATAAAAATTCCATCAACTCCTTGCTTCACCTCAAGACCAAGAAAATAATGCAGTAAGCCCATATCTGACATCTCAAACTTCTTCATCATGTTAGACTTAAAAACAGCCACAAGAGATTTAGAGGAGCTCATGTATATAATATCATCAACGTAGAGACACACAATGATAAAGTCATTTTTGCCGTCCTTCTTTATATAGAGAGTGGGCTCATTTTCACTTCTTGTGAAGTTATTTTGACGAAAGTAGCCATCAATCTTGCTGTACCATGCCCGTGGAGCTTGTTTTAGCCCATAGAGCGCCTTCTTCAGCTTGTACACCTTTGCTTCCTTGCCTTTGACAACAAATCCTTCTGGCTGAGTGACATAGACTTCTTCTTGCAAGTCTCCATTTAAAAATGTAGACTTGACATCAAATTGGTAAACAGGCAACTGTAGTTGTGCAGCCAAAGCTAAAACAATTCTCATAGTTTCAAATCGAGCGACTAGAGAAAAAGTTTCTACGAAATGAATACCTTGTTGCTGCGAATACCCTTTCGCCACGAGCCGAGCCTTGTGCTTCTGAATGGTTCCATTTGCATGATATTTTGTTTTGAAGATCCACTTAAGACCGATTGCTTTCTTCTCTTTGGGTAAATCAGTCATCTCCCATGTCTCATTTTTCTGTATTGCCATCAACTCTTCTTTCATTGCATTCCGCCACTCTTCTTTTGTTGCTGCTTCTTCAAAGGTTGTAGGATCCGTAACAAAAAGAGCAAACTGACAAGATTCATAGATCTCTCTCAAAGACCTAAACTTCACTGGTGGTGTTTCATCAAAAGATTCTTGCAAGGATGATGAACTGCTACTTCTTGAAGTCGATGAAGAGGAAGCTGGTGACCCAGATAGAGTAGGAGAGTTTTCTTGGACTGGCTCAGCACCTTCAAATGTTGGAGTCTCACTCTCTGTTGAGATTTGAACTTGAGTCTCTTCATATTCGTCATTCCACTTCCAGCTTGCATCTTCATCAAAAACTACATTTCTCCTTATAAGAACTTTGCCACTAAGAGGATTATACAGCTTATATGCTTTGGATTGATTGCAATATCCAACAAAAATGCATTTTTCGGATTTATTCTCAAATTTATGATGAAATTGAGAACTTACTAAAGCATAAGCAATACAACCAAAAATTCTTAAGTGACTTATTGTTGGTCTTCTACCTCTCCAAGCCTCATATGGTGTTTGATTCAAGACAGCTCTTGTAGGAGAAATATTCAGCAAGTAGACTGATGTTGACACTGCTTCAGCCCAAAACTGATTAGGAAGTCCACTAGCTTTGAGCAAACTTCTAGCCATTTCCACCACGGTTCGATTCTTTCTCTCCGCTACACCATTTTGTTGTGGTGTGTAAGGTGCTGTCAACTCCCTGAAAATGCCATGTTCTTCACAGAAACTATTAAATTCATTAGATAAAAACTCACCACCTCGATCTGTGCGGAGAGACTTTATAAATGTGCCTTTCTCCTTTTCCACAAGAGCCTTGAATTTTTTGAAATTTTCAAAGGCTTCTGACTTTTCTGTTAGAAAATACACCCAACTCATTCGACTATAATCATCTGTAAAGAGCAAAAAATACTTACTCCCACCAAGTGATGTCGTTCTCATAGGCCCACATAAATCAGCATGAATCAACTCAAGACATTCAGAAGCTCTCCATGACTGCCCACTTGGGAATGGCTTTCTTGTCTGTTTTCCATAAATACATGCTTCACATAAACCAAAAGAGTTAATTTGAGGTAGCCCATGGACCATATCTTTTTGACTTAGAAGCTGCAAGCCTTTGATATTGAGATGCCTATATCTCAAATGCCACACCTTGGATCCATTCTTCTCACTGGCAATAAGAGCTTGATTTTCCAACACTGTAGAAATTCTAAGTGGAAACATCTTGTTCTCTGTCATCTTCACACTAACAATGGACTGCCCAGACTTTTTGTCGTTAATAACACATGTTCCATCATTAAATAGAATTGTATAGCCACTAGCCATCAACTGTCCAACACTCAACAAACTATGAGCAAGATTAGGAACAAAGAACACATTATAAAGTAATTTGTCTTTACCATGGCTAGTCTTCACAGCAACTGTGCCTTTGCCCTCAACTTGAATCTAATTGTTATCTCCAAGTCTGACTTGTACCTTTTGTGACTCATCAAGCTCTTTAAACAATGATCTATTGACAGTCATGTGGTTCGAACAACCACTGTCCAAAAACCAAACATCATTTTGAATTTCATTTGAATAAGAGTGAGCTAGAAATAACTTATTCTCATTCTCTTGCTCCACAAAGTTTGCTTGTGAACCTTTTCTACAATGTGCCTTTATATGCCCAAACCTTTTGCAATTATAGCACTGAATAGAGTTTTTGTTCCATTTTTGCTCCCCAAGCAACTGCCTCTCTTGTCCATCAAAACAACCTCTTCCTCTACCTCTTCCACGTCCTTTGCCACGAAAACCACCTCTTCCACGTCCTCTTCCTGCAGAGTCTTGCTTTCTGTATGTCTCCCCCTTCACCTGAGAAACTTGAAATGCCTTTTCTTCATTTTTCTCAGCTGATCTGTTACGCCTTGCCTCATGTGCTTGCAAAGAGCCCATTAGTTCATCAAAGGAAAAAATAGAAAGATCTTTACTTTCCTCAATTGTAGTTACTATATAATCATATTTGGGAGACAGAGTTCGTAAAAATTTAGAAACAATAGTGGCATCAGAAATTTTTTCTCCATAAGATCTCATTTGACTAATAATTGAAATTATTCTAGACAAGTAATCTTGCAAAGTTTCATTACCCTTCATAACCAAGGCCTCAAACTCTTGTCTGAGAGTCTGTAGTTTTACTTCTATCACCTTTGATGAGCCTAGAAATTCCTTCTGTAGTATATCCCAAGGCTCCTTTGAAGTGGACGCCATTGCGATTCTGGAAAAAATTGTGTCATGAACTGCTTGTTGAAGGAAGAACAATACCTTTGAATCTTTCTTCCTGTTTTCCCTTAATCGACCTTCATCTTCATCATTGTTGTCATAGCCTCTCTCCACTAAATCCCAAAGGTCTCGAGATCTGAATAAAGTCTTCATTTTGATGCTCCAAAACTCGTAGCACTCGCCTTTGAAGATGGGAATAAGAGGTTGAGAAACACTTATGGAACTGCTACTGCCATTTACTGCCATTTTTATTTACGCCACTCACCAGGACCCTTTTGGGCTCCGATACCACTTTGTTGGGGAGAAGACAAAGTTAACTATTAATAATAGAGGAGATAATTAAAGAGAAGGAGACGTGTGTAAATAAACTTTGCTCTGCACTTTTATTAACTCAACAGGAGCTTATATATAGGCTTATAAAACAAGGATACCATTACCCCACTATCTCAACTACATAGAGATAAAGTAGGCACGTGAATAACTAAACTAGAGATAATGTCAAATATGGACTAACCCGCTAACACATCAAATAACAATAAACTAATATCCTAAAGGCTAGGACTTATTGACTCAATATATGGACTCAATACGTGGGACACCATCTTTGAATCATTCTTCAACATTCCAATCAACTCATTTCCCCCGCAAATCCTTGTCTTTATAAGATACATTTTTCCAGAAAACTTTTGAAGATATTCAAAGTTTCACAAACAACCTTGTGTGTTAATCATGACCTTCAACATATTCTTGGTTCTAAAGTTCATCTCAAAAGCTAAACACAGTTCTTGATAGGGTTTACAATAATTACGATGTATAAAAGCCATATTTTAGGTTCAGAAAACGTAGATGCCATAACTTGATTTAGGAGTATCTACTACAGGAAATTAAAAATCCTCAAAATAGGTGCTAGAAGAGTATAGAGCGGACAATGTGTATTATCATTTGAAAGAAGAGGGGAAGGGGGAACTGCGTCCTCACCTGGAAAAGTAGAGACCTCTGTTTCGTCTCTGGGTCAAATTGCTTGGTCACGCGGTATCCAGGTCTACCAATTTTAACTGCTAGCACAACAGAAAGATATTTATTATGTAGAATAAGAATTATAGAACCAGCAACTTCACCTTACTAATAGAAAGCTTCTCATGCAACCCAAGTTAATTTTTTATTCTTTTTGTTGAACTTTTGCTTTCTTAAAAAATAAATTCAATTAAAATTAAAAACCTTTCAAAGAAAACACATTTTGGAAAATAGATAAAATGTAGGCTGCAATGGAATTCAACCGTTTCTACTAAAATCTCGTTCATGGTAACTTATGACCAAAAAGCTAGAAAGAGTCTACAAAATCATCGCTTCTAAGACCCGTTTAAATTTCACCCTCTGCCTCTGGAAGATATTTAAAAAAAGATAAATCTATATGTACATAATTATTGTACATAATCGATTACATAGATTCATGTGGAAGAAATCCAGCCGTGGATGTGAAATGTGGAAAAGTAAAAAATTGTAGACTACCGATGGATGTGCGCCACATGTTAATTATGTAATGTATTATGTAAATGATTATGTACTTGCAGCATGGTCCTTTAAAAAACCTTCACAGTAACTTATTGCTGAAGCTGAAAAAAGGGAAATTTTGTGTCAATTGTTACCGAATTTTTTAAGTGTGATTTTACGCTTATGCGGCTGTGGCTGAGCCGGTGCCTCCTTAGCTTCGCGAGCCTCCCGCTTGGCCAAGTTTGTCTGATGCCGCTTCCCCTGCGTGTGCGCCAAGTAGTTTCCCNGCCTCCTTAGCTTCGCGAGCCTCTCACTTGGCCAAGTTTGTCTGATGCCGCTTCCCCTGTGTGTGCGCCAAGTAGTTTCCCTCATTATTGTGCAAAGTCAAGCATAGCTTACACTCATAGCTACAAAATGTTTACGAAATGGAAATCAATAAACATTAGTATGCAAAATTAAAAATGAAATTACACGCAGGTTTAGGCTTTATAATTAGGGTATACCTGCCGAGGTGGTTGCACATGAAAATGACCTAGTGAAAGGTCCATAATTCCACTTTGACTTTTCCAATTGACAATAATTCCAAAATGACCCATTTGCTATAAAAAGACAAAAACACCTTTAAGTGACTAAAACAATTACAAAACATGTTTGTGTTACAAAGACAATACTATAATTCTAGTTAACAAATAAAACTCAAACGGTCCCTACTTAAACTTACAAAATC